TAAAAATATACCAAGATAGTTAAATATGACTTTATGTATACCAAAATACTTGATCATTATCTGGCTTCAACATGCTGAAGTCAGATTTGAAATATGTACACCCAGTCAGTTTTTATTCGCATTTTACGCATACCAGTTTCGGTTGAATGTAGCTGTATGTTAGAAAACAGGCGTATATTATAACCCGTATTATCACAAAATAAATTGAAAGGTTAACCCCTTTCAAGAAATTTGATGAACGGATTTGTTTCACTTCAGCCCTAATATTAAAAATATCATTTGTTTGATATTTACAAACTATATATTTATGAATTATCATTAAGATTACTGTATATAATTTGTGTGATTACTTGCGAGCGGTTGCGACCAACTGTGCGAAGGGCTGTTCCCAGGCGTACATCTTTATGACACGCATTCCGGCGATAATCTCTTGCATTAAACGGATTCGACTGTCAGTTAATTTAGCCGTCTTTTGACGTATACTCCGAAACATACGACCCATTAGTATTTGAAATGGTATAAACAGCACAAGTATTCCCATTCCCGCCAAACACGCCCACCGCAAGTGTGTCCACAATAGGTATAACACAATCGCCGCCTGCAGTGGCGCCACAAATAATGCTCGCGAAACTAATGCAAACTATTGCCAAAATAAAAATCATGTTCAAATATTTGTAAAAATAATTAGCATACAATGAAAACTTTGTGTTGTGAACATTTTATTCTATGAACTCCTCTATATTATGAAAAGGACAGCGTTGGTATAGAATTCATATCCCGTGTACTTAAAATGTTTTGGCTTGTTGTTTTTTAAACTCATTTTTTTGATAGGTCAGTTATTTTGGACTGTCAAGGACCCGTTTTGTTTACAATACAGAGTTCCGAATGTAATACTACCAAAATATTTATGTTTTGTCATAATATTCCTATGTCCGAAATACTAAACGCGTTTACTTTTCATTAATCATTTCATTTTCATACAGTGTACTGTAGAAATTGTATATCGTATGGCCCGACACACTGTATCAAAATGAAATTAATAATGAAAAAGTAAAGGCCGCTAACTTGTAAGGGGTGGTCACCGCATCTAACGGGTGTTTAGCCATCGAGGGATGAAGTAATCATGCTGCTATTTGATAACCCCTCGTACGATTTTAATAAACTTAGTTTTATTTTAAAGATAAAAAGCGGGAAAATTATTCCAAATA